CCCCCCCCAAAGCGATTTTTTACTTTGCTGTTTACTAATAATTTAGGTAGTTGCTATGATTTTCAACCAAACGTTGACCCCTAAACCTCAAACAGACGATTAACATGGAATAACAGGAGCACAACAACTCGATGGGATTGAAAACAACCTAAACAGACCCAAGCCCGCAACGCTGCCAAACCTTAAGCCAATAATTGCCACAGAATTCAGACGTAAATAGCCCCAAATCCCACAGCAACCAATACGCTTTAATGCCTGAGGCCTGTAATCCTATGGGCTAAGCCAGAAATTCAAAGCTTAAATGCAACCCTGAGTCCCAAACAGCCCTAAACCCGACAAGCACTTCAGCCCTTAAACCTTTAACTTTGAGTTAAGCCCAGAACCCAAACACCGAAGACAAGGCTTAAACCCGAAACATCCCAAAACCATAAACAAACGCCTTGACCATACACTTTTGAGCCTTCATCCCTAAAAGAAGTCACATGCCCCACCATTGAATCAAACTTAGACACGAAGCTTCATTAGCATGAAATCTACATGTCGAAGCCCAAAGCAAGCCATAAACTCTAAACCCTAGTTCTTTAGCCTTAACTCTTCAGCCTTCAGCCCCTAGGTCCGTAGACAAATCTTAGATATTAAGCCGCTCTATGCACCAAACCTTAAGAGGCCTGACGGCTTCTGAAGCCGGGGCCTTGTGGGACTAGACCCGGCCCTGAGACTTGAATCCTACACCAGCCGTAAGCCCTAAGCTTCGAACCCTAAACCCCGGACCCAAGCAAACTTATCTACTAAATCTGAGGGCCAAACACGAAACCTGAGCAACCTCCAACCTTACAGCCCCAAACCCTAAATCCAACATCCGAATCTAAACCATGCCCTGACCCGAAATCCTTAATCCAAACTCCAAACCTTGAAGGTCCTCGGAAGGGCGTGAACCCCACGCACTCTAAAACTAGGCCATAGGCCATGCGTCCTACGCAAACCAACCCTAGGCCAAAGTCCTCAGACCATCTTAGACCAAACCCTCCTAATCCTCAAGCCCTAACCTGGTACTTCCTGGACTCCAAGTTCCTGCTATTGGCAAGTGGCGTTGTGCCACATAGTGAAGTTTGTGAACATTGATTCATTACTGATGGTGAGTCTGCCTAGCCTGTTAGTCCTTGCCCACATGACTGCTGACAGCGCCCATTTTCACGTCGTGCTCGCATTCTCCTTTGCTAAGCTCTGTGCGTAGTCTACATCCCGTGGACTGGAAGACCCCTCCGACAAAATGTGAATCCAAGCTAAAAGGTTTCCAGGGCCAAAACCTCGTCACAATGTGCTTCGATGTTGAGAGGGAGGTGACCTTGACAGTCTGGATTCAGGAATGGTCCAGGCTGATGACTGCCCATAAGATGGGCTTCATGGAGATCACCATGGAGATCTGTGCTCTCCCTTGGGCCCCATATGGAAAGAAGTTCCAGCAGATGCGTAAGGTGGACAATGGCCATGGCTACACTGGTTTGCGCAACAGCAAACTCCACAACGCCCAGCTACCAGACCACCCATAGTTTGAAACAAGACATTGGCGCGTGAAAGGGTGATCCTCGAGAAGCGTGGGAGAGAACGAACGTGCGTGACCAGGCAAGAGGACGCTGACATCAGGGCCACGATGATGTCACTATGGCCTAAGAGGGGGAGTGATGAAGACGTTCTGTGAGAATACCGACATGGGTTGTGTGACGAATTCTTCAACTACGCGCTCACTATTCTTCGCCATGTCCAGGCCAATGGGGTCACAGCTTGTGATGTAGGGGTCAGCAACTTAGGTGTATCAAAGCCTGCATAAGTGGCGAGCTTACGTCACTCAGGCTCTATGATTTACAAGGACGGAAGGACGAGCCGCATCCGCATAGGCGCTACTGGAGTACGCCGTGGTGGATGCATGAAAAGTTGTGCCCCAGCAAGAGCAAGGAGTACAAGGCCAGGCCATATTTGCCCGCAATCCCGATCCCAAGGTGCTGTACAAGCTGTTTTCTCAGCAATGCCCCTCCTCCCATACAAAGCTGGCTTCGCAAGGGCTAAGGCCAAACACCCATGACCATACTGGGTAGAGAGCACTCACCCAGATAGGAGACCAGGGTAGGCCAGGACCCAGGGTTTGAGACTCTCAACCCAGGAGGTGGTCGCACCAGGGTTAATGGACAAGCAAAGCGTGAAAGTAGAAAAGAAGGAAAACACACACACACACAAGGGAAGAACTATCATGTGCTTCTAAATGCCCCACTGAACTTGAGAAGATCCCTTCAGAAGGGTGCGGAGACGAATCCAAAGTCAGCACTGGCCTTGAGACTGGCATCCTTCCTGACCACCATTGGTGGGAGAACAGGGTACTTCAGTGCGCTCCCTCAACCAGTTGGTAGGGCCATGAGGGGTTCCGTCTTCAGTTGAGTCTGACTCCTGGATGGCTGGCCAAAGAGCCAAAGGCAACTGTTGCCTGTGAAAGAAGGATGTAGACGTTCAGGGAGCCCCATACGCAGAAACAGCCACAGGAAAGCTTGACAGGGAGGGATCGTATGACAGAAAACCAAGTGCGTGCAATCAAACGAAGAGTTGCCGAAAAATCATGTATCCCCATGTTTCTTTTGTAGCCACGTCCAGGGATGCCTTGAATGCAGAAATACGTTAATTACGCCAACTTTTTACCAGGCGTTCGGCACGTCCTCACGGGATCTCACGAGCCTCGCTTCTCCAGCAGGGATCTCCACATGTTGACTTTGTGTTCAAGTTCCACGATAAGAATTCGATCCTGAAATCGCTGGCGCAGCTAGGACAGTCTTGCGCAGGCACGTCGGCATCTGCGAAACGAACTTGCGAGAAACTAGTCTCGGAGAAAAGGGGTGAGGGCTGGGAGGGACTGCCTTTCCGTTGCATCGAGCGGGGGGAGCCATGTGCGAAGTGGGATGGAAAGCCTGGGCGTTCTTTGGTTGTTTACATTATCGTGCCGTCACGGAAAATGAAATAGAGATGACCGTTTCTGCTCAGTTTCATTTCAGGATTAGCTTAACGTACGCCCACATTCTCCAGTATGTGTTGACGGCACGCATTGTGGGTACCCATCCCGTGTTGTAAAGCACTTGAAAACCTTGGATTGTTAGTGTCGAATCTTTGGCTTACAGGTCCTGCACATATCGCGCTGCGCATGCAGGGAACGTGGACAATGGAATCTGTGCGAAAATCAAAACCATAGTAGCAGAGGGCTGAATCAGAACCAGGCTGAACTGAGAAGAACAAGTGAAGAAAACTTCAACTGTGTTTTGGGATGGCCGGTTCGGAGCGCTCTCGGGTGCCGCGAGAGAATTCGGATTGAAACAAATATGTTGAAGTCCACATATGCTCAGAAGATGACCCTGTCAGGACATGCAAACTTGCCGCCTGTTGTTGTTTGCTTCATGTGGCTTGGTTAGTGCAAGTCAGGACAGGTGCGTTCTCAACCGCACCAATCGAGCGCAGGGAGAAGTACTACATGCATTCGCCAAAGCCAGGATCTTAGGCGCAGTTGAAGGTGCCATGTGCCATATCCCATTCGATTCACTTTGCGCTCTCACTGAAGGTTCAGGCTCCAATCAGCATATGCAAATCCAGGCAGGAAGTTCTATCTGTGTCGTCTTGAGTTTTTGACGCGCTTGCTCCTCCTTAGGCACCAGGCCGGCAGCAAAGATTGCACAGGAGCAGGCTAAGGCTACACTTCACCCATAGAGCTGCTTCCCGCTGTCCATTCGTCCATCCATGGCAGTGTCTGCATGCAGGTACGCTATTTCTACAGAGGTCATGATCATGCTTTCACCCTCAACGAGTCAAATCCTCAGTTAAAGTAGTTCAATCCAAGTGCTTGAGTTCATCGATTCTGTTTTGGACAACCCCTACGCACACAAAGGGGCGCACACACACACACACACTGTACGGTGTCCTATGAGGCTGAAGGACTTCTACTTCAAGCTGCGCGAGAACTGGCTTATCCAGTCCGGAGCTCACAGCGTGAATCATTCGCTGGCCACCGTGCCGTTCACGGGCTTGGTCGAGTCTACATGTTGATTTCAGACGGGATAATGTGGCACGATGCTGCCTTCCTGTGCATCTCACCTTTGGCGGCTTTGGGGAAGCACTTGCGCTGTCGCTGACGGTCGCCAGCAACCTAGGCGACATTACATGAACAAATTGCGAACTGTAGCTACTCGTAGACAGAAGCAGTTCTCAGTGGGCCCTCGCAAAAGCAGATCGGTCCAGATCCTGGACAGGCCAGAGAAGGATGATAGATGTGGATGATGTGGTCGAAGTACAGCGGACGGCAAAAGTAGCCTTCTTCATGTGCATCATAGGGAAACTCTTAAGATAGTTGACACTTGCTGCCTTCGTATGCTGAAATCTTGTGTTCTTTGGCTTTCAATATGCTTGCCAGCCCGAGAGGTCGATTTGCCTTGGTACAGCAATGGTACAGGTAGTTTGCAAGATGACTCCACGCAGGCACTACCCTGGCATCCAGTACCCATTCGTCCATCGCAAGAATCTCAGTACTGCTGACTGATCTGGCTGTCTCTGAACAATCTGAGTTCAGACAAAACGGGACTGGTCACCCACGAGTGATGGCAAAATATGGCACAAGCATGCAAGAAGCAAGGACAGATGATTCCGGAGAAGACGGCTGATCCCCTGAAGGCAGGGCATACCTGTGATATTGTGTGAGCATGTGTTGTAGGAAGGGATGTGCAAGACGCTGCAGGTGCCCATCTCTGACCCACTTCAACCTGGGCAGGGTCACTGAAAGGTGCCTGACAGCCGTTTCATGCAGCTCAGAAGCCCAGCTTGTGAGACAGGTGAGGGTTGAACCCCCTGACAGACCTTGTGGAACTCACCAAGGCATTCGTTGTTTCTCATAGTGTCGTATCCTAGCTTCCCGCAGCGCCTCCCTATCAGCGCAAGCGCGCCATTTCCATGATCTGCCCAACCTTTGATTCGATGGAAACAAAGACTGATGCCAGCCACTGCATACTGCTTTTGGCGTTTCCGTCTTCAAGTCAGAAGGGTCTTGGGCAGCTCGCAGATTCTTCTTTCTGTAACACTTGCGGCCCAAGCATAGCTGCAGTCATGGCTGGAAAAGTACCTCCTCCGCATCAACCTCGCAACTGGCCTTCATGTCCGAGAGTTTGCACGCCTCTGCATGGGGGACCGACATGTTTAACAACCGACAGGAGCTTGCTTTGCACTGCTCTACATGACTGGTGACTAGCACGGTACGCTACCAGCATTGAGTAGAAGTACTGCTGCCATGGTGCTCCAACGCTGCAGGCGGATTATGGCAAGCTCCGCTCACGAGTCCAGAGTTTGTGTATTGCATGGAAAAAAGACCAAACTTGCGTTCTTGTTGCTGTGGCGTTGTAATGCAGGCGACGATGCACTCGAGCTCTGAGCATTTTGTTGATGGCATCTGCGTGGGCCCTGGAAAGCTGGTAGCTACAAAGCGTCTGCCAGATGCCTGCGACCAGGCTTTGCTGTGCGCTGTACGGCCTGCGTTTACAGGCATCGCCGTGGTTTTTCCGTGATTCTTCTTGCTCTGGCTCCAAGTTTCTGAGAGGTTCTGCGCGAAGTATGCCATGGCCCTCGGACCATAATCAATTACTGTGTTCCGGGACTCAGTGCGGATCTGAGGACACGCACGGGGCGAGCTCATGTGCTTGCAGCCCAGGGTGCGGACAAGGTAGGTCAGCAATTCACGCGAGCTGGAGCTGGATCATCTTTGCTGTAACGCCGAAGGTGCCTGAACTCCCACCTTTCAAGCAGTTGCTGATGCCCCAGCATGCAGGACATGTTTGACCATTCTCGCATTTGTGGCTGCCAGTCCGGACGATTATGATCCAGATCCACTGGACAGATTCATCGAGCTCACCCCTCAGAAGTTGGAAAGCTCCGTGCTCTCAAGCGCAAAACGCAGTCAATCACGCACGAAGTCGATTGAGAGCCCTAGAAGGTTCTTCACGGCTTCCCCGGCATCCCCCGGGAACCCGCTCCGAGACCCCGCGATCCAAGTACTATCGAAATCGCACCGAACAATTGTATCGACGTCGTATCCACATGCATAATGATTTCAATTGCAAACAGGAGACGCTTAAAATTTTGGTACGATTTCTCCATACGATGTCAATACGGTTTGGAGTCTTGGGATGTTTTCTGAGAAGAGTCCCCCCGAGGGTCGTTTGGCGGAAAACATGGTGGAACGAAGGAAACGACAAGTGCCGCGAGACACGGGCATGCGATGGCCTGCATTGGTTTACATTTGGGGCTCACATGATGCCCCGCCACCCAGCTAGTCATGTCTCGGAGAGTGGCAGGTTGGTCGCTGTCTGCTAACGTCAGCCAGGTGGTGGTGGCAGAGGTGGCTTGTGGTTGTGGCTGCGCTCGCGGCAGTCATTGCTCGCGGCAGTCATCACTATGCTCCTCCTCCTCATCATCATGATCCTCATCATCCATCATCCATCATCATCCATCATCATGCTAATCCTCATCCTCATCCTCACCATGGTCACCGCATCAAGTTCTTGTAGTAAGTACGTGTAGTCGCCTTCGCTAGAATCGGCTGGAAGTGATCGTAGTAGTTTGATTGCTGTTCCTGATGGACTGAAACATGTGCTGTGCCTATACCGGTCCGACTCATGCCAGCAATCTTCGATATTGCAGGGTGGGAGTGGCCCGAAGGGATAGCAATGGATACCATTCTAGGGTTGGTCTGTTCTCCAGTGGCTAGCTCTCGTTGCAGCAGATTGTTTTGAACTTGGAATTTACACCAGTCAGACAGAAGCAGTGAGGCAGCAGTCTGAAGATGCGCGTTTTACAGGTCTGGTTCAGGCGACTGGGAACCGCGTAATTGCCTGCTCAAGCAGGTCCCTATAAGTCAAATGGCACGGCGGCAGGGTGGAAGTTAGCACTCCAAGATGATATGCTTCCTCTTGTACAGACGGTCCAACAACTCCAACCTGTAGCGACTTCGGTTCTTTGTCAAAGGATCAACGGCCTTCGTCATCCTTCCTCTCCCTCGCCTGCAATTCTTGCCGAGTTGGACCCTTTGCAGGATAGATTCTTAGAAGCCTCGCTGTAGACCCCCTCGGTCAGGTCAATGAGTGCTGGGTGCTCGTACTGAGCAGCGGTGGAAGTTCAAGGGTCTAATGCTGCTTATGCTTACACTGATGTGCGGCTTCCATAGACATGGTGTTGGACCCAACCACTCGACGCAGCTCAAGACATGAGAAACCAACTGGGCTTAGCCAAGCAATAGGAGCAACAAACACTCAGCCACATCACGCTGCCCATTACCACTGGAAAGGACAAGTTTTAGTTCAGTTCTTGGGGGGTCCCCTTGGGACCAGTCGTTTTACAGAGTTCATTCAACTCAGAAAGGGCTCATGAAAAACTCATCTTTTGCGCACATGAAGCATGCGGCCGAGTTGTACATTTTTCGCAGAAACGCACAACTCGGCCCCCAACAACATCCGGCCCTGAAACAAAAACAGCGCTGCTCAGAGGAGCGGTGAGTGTTCGTAATGCATTTAGGCTCCAAGGCTTTGTGCTGCATCTAGGCAGTAAGCTGAGACAACTGCTCTGGGCAGCGCTGACGAATCTGGGCCCTTAATCTTAATCAAACAAATGCCCTGAGTGGTCGTTTTACGGAGATGCGCGAACACTTCCCGAACCCTGGGGCCCCTCTTTTCACAGAGCCATCCTACCCGGACCCACCGTTTGACATGAAAAATGCGGTGTCCCAGGGTAAAGGGTGAATGCAGTCCGGTATCCAGCCACCACGCCCATGTCAATCAAATCTGATTCTTTCACTCATTAACCCCCCTCTAACTTAGACCACCCTTCCCCCCCATACCCAACCCTAAATAGAACATTTTCCTATTTTCATCTCCCCCCACTCATTCCCGAAGGTAAGCGGAGGGTATGATTCTACAGAATTTCGGAACATTTGACACATCCCACCTTGATATATCATGCCCTTCTCAGTCGGGGACCTGCTCATGGTGCATGATGTAGTGCTGGGAGTTGGAATGCACGAAATTGCATTCCGATCAAAATCAAGGATTCTTTGTTAGTACCTTGTGGCAAGTGTTGAGGTTTCTAATGAGCATGGATCCGCAGACCAATCAGCTGTTCGAGCAAGTGGCCACAGTTTTGGTGATGACCTCAGCATACATGTGGTGGTTTGCATGTTCAAGTCGTTTCCTCATTCAAGCCGTGCCAAGTTGCTGGGCGTGACTGCCTACAGCGGCAAGGCCAGTATTCAACATTTTCCTCACCCACAGTTCACCGCACGCCCGTAGTGTTCTCCGTGAAGGTCACTTACGATAAATGGCAGGAAGACAAGAAAGAGGAACCCCGGCTTAGATTGCGTCTTACGCCTCTTGAGAAGATTTCGTGCTTTGAGGAAGACGAGCTTAGACGGCAGAAGATTGCACGAGCATTGAATCCGGACAGTTGGAGGTGCCAAATGCTTCTAATCTCCTTCCTTTCTTCTAAGTTCTTTTCCTCTCAGCTGGTTTTGGCCTTCAGGGAAGAGCTCTTCCAAGAGGACCGGCAGGAACAGATGAAGCAAGACAAGCTGAAACCACAGAACAAGGTCAAGGCCCGTACCCAAGCAAAGGGAAAAAGCAGCATGCAGCCCCGCAGTGCCCACAGCTTAGGATGTGCTCAAAGAGATCTACAGCAGCGATGAGCCCACTGATGGGCTTACAGATGGGCTAGATCCCGAGAAAGGGATTATCCACCCCAAGTTTTTGCCGCTCCGCTTAGCTCTGGCAAGGTTTGATGCTTTTGCGCGACCAGGTATCTGCAGCTTGGAGTCCTTTGGAATCATCACAATTGTGCCAACTTGCGCCAGGTCGTGCTTCAAGCAAAGCCAAAGCCAAAGCAGGTAGGCAGAACACAGAGTTTTCGCTCTGGAGCTGCAGGTTACAGAACTGTTGAACATAATGCGCAGGTTCAAAGCGAGTCCGGAAGACCCGAGGACGTAGCGTGACATACGCACGCTGGCTGATGCTCCAATGATGCTAGCTGCTACAGTGCCTACCAGGAGCTCGGTGAGAATGTGCCTGGAGCCTTCATGCCAGGACGTAGCTAGGCTGACTCACACCGCACGCACTTGTGCAGCATGAAGGCAGAAAATATGCTTTACAATCGGGCTAATGCCGTCAGTTCTCTTGAAGGGCAGATCTTTTCCTGAATTTTACGCGTTGCATGAGTGCCTGTGGACGTTGGCATATGGACATCAAGCATTGCAAGAAGGCATGGAGCATTACCTCAGCAGCAGCCTAAACCCACATAGTGGATGGTTGTCGAAACTTAATTAAACCAGTTGTTAACATACAGCGCTGGCTCGCGACATGATGATGATAGTGTTCGCGACAGAAAGCGTTTTTTTGGGCTTCCAATAGGCTCTGCTTGCAAGCCCAGATACTGCATGTGTGTCTTAAGGAAACCCGCAATAGCTTGCGTCAGTACAGTTATAGAAGCCGCTTCCTGGAAGGTTCAAAATGTTGCGGCCATGTTGGGTGTGACATGTCGGCAGCAGGACTCAGCAAGTTTTTGCGAGTAGGGATAATAGGGCACATACATTCTCTGTGCTCGACCTGACCTCAAGTACACTTTGCCCCCAGAGCCTGGAAGCAGATGGTGCTCGCTCCACGCCACCTCTCCGGAATAAGACGAGTTGAACGTAAAGATTCGCCTTCGACGTGTCGCAATATATTCCATATCACAGGCTGTTTCGTGACGGCGAGAATCTACGACACTAGAGTAGCATTTAACAAGCTAACCGAGCAGGTCCGTTTGCGGCGCACTAAACCCAAAAAGAAACAAGGCCATAGGACATGTTGCTTGCCCGATCTGCTGCACCTGCTGGCTGCATGGGGCCATGGGGCTCGAAACATTAGCAACCCTGATTGTGACCATCACTGCAGGACTAGTCAAGCAGTCGCTGCTTGACATGGTGAGCTTGAAGGTAGCTCCCTGATGCGAATTCCAAACCCCCACGCCCGCCACAATGGCAATGCTGCGGGCTACCAGGGCAATCTGTCATCTTCCAGTCAGCCATTCGAGATGGCATTGCCAAGGACAAGTGCTGTGCCATTTGCGGTGCTTTGCCAGCCATGCAAGCAGGGGTGTCTTTGAAGGATGGGGAGCTTCTGGAAGACGTTTGCAATGTGTTGACTGCCATGCCGGCGGTGAGCCGGCACGTGTCGTTTTGGGTGGTCTACCCACCATCCCGGGGCAGAACATGATCGAGAAGCGTTTGCGTATGATGCAGCCAGATCTTGATGCCTTTCGGAAGCTGCTGTTGTTGGAGCCGAGGGGTTATCCATGCCAGAATGCAAATTTTGTGATCCCACCTACAGGATGTCATCCGACAGCTGCCTACGGGGTTCTAATTGCTGAGCAGGGGCACGTGTATCCAGCGATGAGCGGCCACAACCTGATGTGCGTGGCAACTGTTCTGCTGGAGACTGGTATGGTGCCCATGTCAGAGCCGAGCACAGGTTTTGACTTGGAGACACCGGCAGGTTTGGTATCCGTAAGGGCGGATTGCCAGCATGGGAAGGTTGTTCAGGTGACCCTTCGGAATATTGCTTCCTTTTGCAGGCCGGAGGACATGGACGTAGATATTGAGGTCCCTGAGATAGGGAAGGTACGCTTGGATATTGCGTATGGAGGTATGTTCTATGCGATAGTCGATGCATCAGCAGTTGGTCTGCAGCTTCGCTCGGAGCACGGGCGCGAACTGTGCCGTTTGGGTGAGATGATTAAAACGGCGTGCAGAGAGCAGCACCCTGTCAACCATCCAACGTTCGACTATCCTGGCTGTGACATTTTGGTTTTCACAGAAAACCAGCGCAGAGAGGCAAACCAAGTCTTTGGAAAAAATACGGTTGTGATGTCCAACGGAAAGCTGGACTGGCAGCGACCAGAAACCTGGACGGGCATGCTTGACCGCTCCCCCTGTGGCACTGGCACTTCTGCGGTCATGGCTCAGCTCCACGCACGTGCTGGGCTCAGTCTTTTTAGTGGGTTCACAGGTCGAGCGCGCTGCTTTGCATTTTCCCTGCCCACGCTGCCATGCTGATGAATTCTTGTTCCATTCCTTGCTCACATTCCTGAGTGACGCTTCCGGCTAGCCATACAGACTTTATGGCAGATATCTCCTGCCCTGATTCGGAAAGTGAAGCGCCTCTTCGCTTTCGTCCACAGAAATCAACTATCCTGAAATAATCCTCTTATTTCTCGGGTGTGTTGAAGTGGAGGGTACCAACTGCCTTGCTTTGCACCTTACACGGCCAGATTTTGACATCCAACACTTCTTCACAATTGAGTTCAAGTGCGAAACCCCGCACGCCCGTCCTGTGTATCTCTGCCTGGTGGCTCAGTCTGGTTAAGTTCTGGTTTTGTTGGTTCAGGCTCACGCCTTGGCCTTGGGGAAGAGTTCGTGCACGAGAGCATTGTTGGAACTCGCTTCGTGGGACGACTGCTGGAAGAAGTACTGATCGAGTCTGGAAGCGAGCAGATCCAGGCAGTTATTCCCACTATAACAGGCAGGGCATGGATAACGCAGTACTGCGATGTGGTCTGTGACTCCTCAGATCCATTTCCAGAAGGCTATACCGTTGGTGATATATGGTAGTGTGGCAGTATGTGGCGGTTGAGATTTGATTTGGCGGCGTTTGTTGATCGAACTGATGCAGATAAAAGGTGCAGCCTTTGTCGCCTTTTCAGCTTGATCAATTTGCTAGCAGCAGCCGCAGAGCCTTCCCGCAATGCAGCGCTATCAAGCGTTGTACCCACGCCGCAACCATGGGTAATCGTAATAGGTGCAAACCGAACACTTTCTGCGCAGTTGCATCCAGGGCAGTGCCATGACACAGTCGGGTGCGAGGTCCTTACTCAATGATGCTTGAGATAGCTGCCACGCCGGCATGAAGCAGTATCCAGACCAGGCACATGTAGTTGAAACCCGATGTTCTGCTGCGACAAGCTGCGAAGTTTTCCGGGTAATGTTCCAATTTGCAGCTTGGCAGAACTGGCCGCTGTTCAGACTCGATGTAAAACGAAGTTTATGCGCAGGATCAGATGTCTTGGTCCTTGATGAATCGTGAGAGCAGGTTGAGCCGCTACCAGATCGGGCAAAGCAACGTAGCTTAGACTGTGACCTCCTGTGACACTTGCACTCAGCATCACGCACCCGCTATGTTTGACTTCTTCTCACCTGAACAACACAACTACAATCTTGAGGCCGCTAGACGCGGATGGTCCAAGCCTGAGTCAAGGTACCAAAGCACATGTGATGTAGCCCCTGTTTGTTTTCTTGTTGACTCCTGGGGTGTACTTTCCCTCGGCAGGGCCGCTTCCTTTCTTGCAATTCATGTTGTCAGGAAGCATACGCAGGCGTCACTTCTGCTGCTTGCAGCAAGTCATAGTCTCCCTATCCACGGGGGCTAACCGCCTCGCTATTTGTGTCATCAAGCAAGGGCAGCTGCATTCTTTCCAGATCTTTCCAGGTGTTGTTCGAAAACGCAGGCCCGGGCGCTCAGGTGCAGTCAACCTCTCAGAATGCTGTAGCTGTAGTGACCGTAGTGATCCTCAGGCGGGAAAAGCAGGCAGTACAAAGAATGTTGTTATCTGTGGCTGCTGAGGCATCTCAACCTCCGGCAGCACGCCGTCGTCGAACGTTTGAGTCTCAGGGAGAAGTCTTAGGTCCCAGACTCGCAGAGCCGGAGAGGTGGAGTTGCGCTCGACACAAGTAGCTTTGCAAATATGGCGCAGAACAACTTCCACATCACGCTGGGCTTCGAGCTGGGCTTCAAAGAGGATGGCTGCAGCTAATTGCCCTTCCCAGCACCAGATGGCCAGGCATGTCTAGCAAGCAAGGACAGACACGACGGCTAGCACCACACCGGCTGCGACATTCGTTCAGCAAACTGCACATGTCCATGGCAAGGCCTGGTGAAGCCATGCATTCTTCCTCAATTGAAGTTGGTGGGCAGGTACCTACCAATGATGATGGCTTCATGATCAGGCCACCTGCCGCTGTTACAGGACCGAAGCCCGCGGCTCCATAAATTTCACCTTGACGGAGGCTAGGCGTTGAAACCGGCTTCCGTGGAAGGCGACTCCAATCAACAACATGTCATAAGAGGCAGCCGCAGTCTGTGCCAGGTGGTATTGTGGCCGCATCCTGGATCCATCTGATGCCAGCGGCATAGACTAGCATCATGAGTAAGCTCTTTCAACTGAGCTCGTGAGCAAAGATTCCTGGAGCCGCTGACCAGTGTGGGCCTGAAGGAGGGTCGGAACCTTAATAAGCATAGGTCAGCACATGTCGGCACAGTCGCAAAGGATGTGAGAAGACGTGGCTCATAAGGCCGCAGTGCCACTCATGTGCTCGGTTTCAGAGAACCTACGAGGCGGGGCAATGTGTGAGCTGTGCACCAAACTCAGAATGCCGACGTGAGATGCAGCTTGACTCGTGGACAGTCATTTGGCATCATTTGGCTTTGTGCTGGAATGCTTGTTGTTTTCGTTCCAGAATACTGCAGCTGACGATGTTGTTGGAATGCTTGCCCTGGGTTTGCTGCTCTGCCAGTGACTGCGAAAGTTTGCATTGTTCATCCAGTTGAGAAATGCATAATTGCAAGTAGGGCAAAATGGCTTGTTGTAAGCCGCACAGTTGCTCCCCTCAGCCATGCGCCGGACATGTTTGAACTGGTTATGAATGTTTGTTTAGCAGAACCTGTGCTGTGCTGGGCCTGTCAATGATCCTGAGGTTGCAAAACTGAGCATGGAGCATCACAGCAACAACTTTTTCATTTTTAGTCCTCGGTCCTTGCATCCAGAAGCCCATCCTGGGGGAAAACGGTGCCTCAGCCATTCTACAGGTTTGTTGGCCTACGGGAGGGTATCACAGCCTCGAAAGCCAGCTAGCCCTAGGCGGGCGAGACAGTTATGTAATGCGAGCATCATCTTCTCATCTGATGTGAATCTTGAAATCCTGTGCTTTCCACATTGTAGTGATGCAGAGGCGGCGAGTGAAGATAAGCTGTTTGCACTTTGGCAGCCTGACCTGAACGACGACGGGTTTCCGGTCCAGCGCAGCACCAGCACGAAATCTTGCCGGAGTCTCATGTTTTGATGTTATGTCCTGCCGCAGATGCTTGGCGCTTGTGGCAGCTTCCATATGTAATATTTTCTGAGCGAAGGTTTCCTGTTTTACTGCGGAAGGTGGGAGCTTCTCAAACCTGCTTCATGAGTTCAGATCCCGTCATGTCCTGTCAAAAGCAGGGCTGGAGTCGTGGCAGGCGCGCGGGAAAAGACGTGTCCCGCGAGTGAAGATGAGAAAGTCACATGGAGATGTCATGCGACAGGCACCGGCGGCATGTGCGGTCCCACTGAGGGGTGAGCAGCTCGTGCGGTTAGCGTGTCTTTGAAGGTCCTGGTTCAACACCAAAGGGTCATGCTTGCTCTTTGTCTCAGGCCCCAATGCCCATCCTGCCAACGCTTGCAGCAGTGCGAGGCTCAGCGGATTGACAACCAGCTGTTCAGTTTGGGAATCCGTGAAATGAGCTGAATGAATCAGGTCCTTCAAGGCAACGGCTTTTGTGGCTCATCACCTGATGACTTTTATGGAACTGTCCCGATGGCTCAATCAGGCCTTGCATGTAAACGACGAGGGCTGTACAGTACTGCGAGGCACGGCAGAAGGCCCGGCACTGCACAGAAGACGGAGTCAGGGCTTGTACAGGACCTTGTGGGAGGCACGCAAGTTGAAAATCAATCCTTCCAAATGCAGAGTCGGTTTTGACTGCTGCATAAAGTTAGAGCTTTCATTTGAACTGGTACCACACACATGCAAGTTCCAAACAGTGGGAGACGGCGGACAGGCATAAGCACCAAAGACGTGAAGAATAACTGGACGAACGGAATTACGAACAAAGACAAACAACTTGCACAAGACGGCACAAAGAGTTGGAGACAGAAATAGATGATCACCTCGACCAGTTCAGGGTAAACTTACGGTCATGATTGTTTAGGGTACGGAGGGAAAATGCTTAGAGGATGAGATGATTGTGGGTTTGAAGTTGAAGGTAAAGAAAAGCTGCGACAAAGGTGTCCACAGCGTTAATCTTCAAACCTCAAAAGCTGGCAGGAAGCTGCCAAAACGCTGCCAAAACGGTGGCAGAAAGATGCCAGCAAACCTTTCAGCTGTTGGCAGCTCTCTCCTCCAGCTTCATGGGCAGCCTTTGCTTGGTTTCATCTTGAAGCTGTTTCCTAGGAAAGCGCTCATTTCATCAGATAGCTAGCTTTTGCAGCTTTTCGCAACTTTTTTTTAGCTGTTGTTTAACTGTTCCTGAGCTGTTTACAGAATTATCCTCGGGAGTGGCTAATTTTTGGACCCCAGGCCCTTGTCTCCGCAGGCCTCGGGTCTGGCTCCTCTGCTAACTCTTATTCTTCCTTTACAAGATGAACCGAGTACCTAGGAGCTCTAAGATAAAGACCGTCCGAAGTTTAGGGCTTTGGTAGGAGAGTCAAGGTGTGGAGCGCTGCATGTGCGCCGCAACATGTAACTTCGCAGCAGCAGCTCAACCAGGAACGGGCTCCAGCTGCCACAATCTTAGTTGGGGTGGTATAATAACCCCGCCAGAGGATTATGCCCTGGTGCGTCAGGAAGTGCAACACATGCGGTGGTTTTAGTTGGAAAAACGATAAGAGGAAAAACTAAGGATAAAAACGATTGGAAAAGCGAGAAGAGGAAACTACAACAATAACCGCTTTGCAGGTCACGCAAATTGGAACAGGGTCTTTATACAGCCCGGCCCTTACGATCATGGCTGCATGCAGCCAAGCAGAGCTCAGCAGCGCGGTGGACGTGCCGGAGTGCCACGGAGTGCAAGGGCGCGGCGCGGCGATCGCTTGTCGGGTCTTTGAATGCTGCCTTGGTGGAGGTTCGTGAGGCCCTAAGCGCATCTTGGTCCTACCATGTCCTACCCTTTCTTGATCTTCGACCGGTCTGAAGGTCGATGCACTGCAATACAACGCATGGCCCGCCGCGCAGGTGACACCGTTGTCACCAATGAAGCGGAATCGTGCCGAAACAACTATGCAACGGCGCGCGACAAACGCGCATGAGACTGGTGGCACGTGCGAAGCGAAATAATGCAGACGCCGCTCAAAACAATGCAACCCCGGCAAATGAGAATTGTGCCGAAATCACTCGAACGAAGCACCGCCCTCTTCGCCCAGCACGAGGGTCATCACTTGCGAAGCTGAATCGTACCGAAGCCGCGGCAGAACATTGAAGCGCGACGTCACTTGTTTTTTCCTCCCCCTCCCCCCTTCCGGCGCCCACCGAGTAGGAGACTTTCGCCACGCAATTCTGCCCAAGCCAAGATAAACTGACGCATGACGCCGCGGGACAAGAGACTGTCGGCTCTGAGCGTCGCGGAATCGTGCCAAAAGCGGTGCCATTTGATGCATGCCCCCTGGCGGGCACGAGCTGCTATCACATTTTGGCGCTTTCGATGCGAAATCATACCGAAACCAAAAACAAAGCGAAGCACGACCCCCTGCGCACATGAACTGTCGACACTTGTGAACCGGAATTGTGCTGACACCACTGTACAATGACGC